CTCACTTTACCGCCTCCCCCGGAGACTTGCCGCCAGACCTCCGCGGCTGCAAACAGCGCCCCCTGCTGCGCGGGAGCCGGGACCGGACTCCCGGTGTGGATGTGCGGGGACGTCTCTCGTTTCGTACCCGATGCCTGCCAGGGAGCCACTCCCGGCACGCGAGATCCTCATGCACAATTCTCCTCCCACCCGGTACACAGGTGACCATCTGGACCTAAACAAATACCACACAGAGGACATACCGTAGAACCAGACAAGGATACTGCACGGTCACGAATACCTCCATGTAGTGGACCCCATTCTCTCCCTCCCAAAAGTGACACTGTACCCAACCATCACATACAGAGGGCCATCTTCCTCCTACCCCTCTCCCACACACAAATCCTAGGACGTGGAGGGCTGTGTTTGCAGTTTGATTTTTTTTAAAGCAGGAGTGTAAACCAAGAATGAGAACTTTGCCACTATTTTATTGTCAATTGGCCTCTCTGCTTCTACTCTTCTTGCTAAGTATCAGAGGGTTATATATGGTTGTGACTACTTTCTTCCACTATTTGATCTGAGGAAGTGGGTCTGGCCCATGAAAGCTCATCATCTAATAAACCATCTTGTTAGTCTTTAAAGTGCTACATTGTCCTGCATTTTGCTTCAACTACCCAAGACTAACACAGCTACATTTCTATCAGTAGGGTTAGCTGTGTTAGTCTGAATCTGCAAGAGTCCTGTGGGACCTTATAGAATAACAGATTTATTGGAGCATAAGCTTTTGTGGGCAAAGACCTACTTCGTCAGATGCATTGTAAGGGACAGGGGAGCAGGACCAGGGACTGAGCCAGCATCTTTGCGCACCAGCTCCCCTGTCCCTTACAATACAGAGCAGTAGTCGGGGAAGTGGGTCTTTGCCCACAAAAGTTTATGCTCCAATAAATCTGTCAGTCTATAAGGTGCCACAGGACTTCTCATCACTTTTACTCTTTATGCTGAATCTACTTCCCCTGCAAATAGTGTTTCCATATGACATCAAGAATGGAGACCTTCCCAGCTCTCTCATTTCTTCCCTTCTTATAGCCCATTACAAGGGCCCAAAAATTCATTAAATGTGAGACAAAGGAATAAGTGTAATATGAAGCATAACTTTAAATTTGTTAATATAAACATTCCATATATATATATAATGACCCTGTAGCAATCAGTAGAGCTCTGCAGGGGCACAGACCTCTCACACTGATGCAGAATCAATAATAGGGCCTTGTGTAGGGCCAGACATTTGCATTTTCATCATGTCCCATTTTCCTAACTTGGGTTTTCCATGAGCAGAACCATGTGCAGGGATTCCACTACATGATTAAGATCTAGCTGTGCATGACACTTTACAGTACGGGTGGGCAACAGTTTTTTTGCCAGGGGTCGCCTGGCCCTGGGCCGCTCCGGAAGGGGCGGGGCCAGGATGGTTTCCAGGCTTCCCCACCCATACTCCATGATTAATCTAGGGGTGGAGGAGCCCCTTTGTTCCTCCTTCCCACTAAGCACCCATGCCCAATGGTAGATGGAGACTTCCCATGTCCCCCACCCTCAGGCCAATCAGGGTCTGGGAGCCAGGGCCACAGTATGACTTTTGTGGGCCCTAGGCACTTTTGCCTTCATGGGCCCCTTCCTCCATAAAAAAAAAAATATATTAAAAAGTATTTTGATATAACTTTAAATACTTAAACATTTTTTTTCTGTTTTAGGCAAAATGTAATAGATTTTCGTGGGCCCTAAAAGTTTCATTTTTTTCTGATGTGAGAAAAATATTAAAACATTTTCTTTGACCCTAAAAGTTCATTTTTGTCTTCTGATTTTAAAAGAAATTAAAACATTTTCATGGGCCCCTAAAAGTATCATGGGCCCTAGGCACTGTGCCTAATGGATAAACACTTATAAGTGCTGCGTGCTTTTTGCAGGGCAGGGATAAGGCAGAGGAAACTTTGCGGGTTCCTCCTGCTGCCAGGCCAATCAGGGGGTGGGGGTGGGGGTGGAGGTGGGGGAGCATGCAAATTCTCCTCCCGTCGGTGGTGACTTTGTGTGCTTCCCCCCACACACAGAAGCTCTCTTGCCCACCCTTGCTTTACAGACATAGTCATTACCAGGGTTTGCTGAACAGCGGTGAGCCCTGCTCGCCAGCTGCGTTGTCCCCCCAAACCCGCAGATCACCCAAACCCAATTCTTCCGGGTTACAATCTACTCACCCATGTCGAGTAGATTGTATTATTTGTCAAGCCCTGATCATTACTAGGCATATTAAAATGCATTTATTTTTGTAAACGTGTGGCAGCTGGTGCTTTTAAGCCAGCTCCCCACACATGCTGGCTTCTGTCTCCTTCTTCCTTCCCCCTTTCCCCTCCCCCCCTCCACTGCTGCCTCTGTATTAGCGAGGAGGGAAAGGTGGCTCCTTGGGAACTGGCATGCCTGGAGAGTAAGCTTAAAAACCAGCTCCCCACTGCACACCAACTCCCAACTACCAGTCTCCAGTTCCATCCTACATTTTGAACCCCTCATTTCTGCCCCTCCCCAGAACCCACACCCCCAGTCCAAAATCTGTGCCACATCCTACACCCCAGCCCACTGCTTCAGCCCAGAACTCCCTTCCATATGCCTAATCCCTTGGCTCCACCCCACACACTAGAGTTCCCTCTTGCACCCCAAACACTTCATCCCTGGTCCCACCCTAGAGCCCACATCCCCTCCTACACTTCAATCACTGGGCCAGCCTTGTGAAAAAGAGTGAATGAGGGTGAAGAAAGCAAGCAACAGAGAAAGGAGGGATGCAGAGAGCAAGGGCAGGGCCTTGGAAAAGGAGTAGGGGGTAGAGTAAGGCTATTCCGTTTTGCAGAAAATCAGCAATCCTAACCAAGATGGCTAGGACAGACTTTTTAAAAATGAAGTTGAGCTTCTCGTGTCCTCCCATTTCAGGAGCTGAAGATTTACCTAAGAAACCAAACATCAGGAGACCCAGGATTACATTGTGAGAACTAGCAACGCTTGACCATCTGTTCATTTCCACACTGCGACATCCCTAAGTTGTTGCGTGCGCAACTACTGAGATCACCTGCGCAGCTAGCTGAGCGTGGTCTGTGTTACGCATGTGCGTTGCTTATCCATGGCCCCGCTGTCAGCCGGGCATGGTTCTGAGTAGGGCGGTACTTCTAAGACTGGCCTCTAGGGGGCGCGCTGCCCAGGAGGTTTCAGGCTTTGCGGACTGTACCATTCCCAACCCTCCCCCAGTTTCTATCGGGACATTCCAAGCCTTGGCTCCCCCCTTCTCGCGCCCGACACTTGGTTTGCGCGGCGGCCGGGTCGGGCCGGGCGGCTGGGGGATGGCGGCGGCCGGCACCTCCGGGAGCGGGATGGCGCAGAAGAGCTGGGAACTGGCCAACAACATGCAGGAGGCGCAAAGCATCGACGAGATTTACAAGTACGACCGCAAGCAGCAGCAGGAGATCCTGGCGGCCAAGCCCTGGACCAAGGAGTGAGAGCCGGGCGCGGGGGAGCGTTCCGGGCTATGGGGGCGGGGAGGCGGCGGGGCCCCCCGTGTGGTTTAGGTCCTGAAGTCAGCAGCATTTCCGGCGGGTGGCGGTTAAGAGGGGCCCTGGGTAGGTGTTGATAAACGCCACCCAGCTACTTCTCCCTTCTTTCCCCCCCCCCCCCCCCC